ATTATATATATATGCATGTACAATATTATTATATATTTGTATAATATTTTATTAGATCGTATTCTACTTAATTCATTGTATGTTTAATACGTGTACTCTGCTGTTATAATGATTGATGATAACGAAGTATATTTTTCCGCAAACGACTCTTCAGATGATGATAGCTACAGTTCGCTACCTGATACCTTGGGGGAACAATTACGGCAGTCATTTAACAATCAATCTTTGTTGAATGTATGTCATATAAATGCCCAGAGTGTTCCCAGTCATTTTAATGATTTGACTGTAACTTTCACCGTCAACAACGTTCATGCCGTACTGATTTCAGAGACTTGGCTCAAGCCGCACCTATCTTCTTCTTCTTTTTCACTGACTGACTTTGTACTTATTCGTAATGATCGAATAGAATCAAAAAGAGGCAGTGGGGTTGCCATCTACCTCCGTAGCTGTTTACCTTATAAAATCGTCGCCGCTTCTGCTTCCGATCTTTCTACTACCGCTGAATACCTATTCCTTGAAGTTCGTGTCGGAAGATCTAACGTATTACTCATCATCATCATCATCATCAACAGCCTTTAATAGTCCACTGCTGGACATAGGCCTCCCCTTAGAAAGGAGGTTTTGGCCTACTATACCACGCTGGCCAGACGGGTTGGTATAGGGTTTGTTTCAAGTTTTCCTTCTCTCTGCAGTGTTGTTGTCCTGCGTAGTTTTCTCCCTTAGTCGCCTCTTAAGACACCCACGGGATGAATAGGGGTGGTGACTCTCTGTATTCTTAATCCGTCACCACACGGACATAACGTATTACTGGGTGTAGTTTATTGTCCCCCTGTTGTTAGCTACTTCTCCAGTCTGGAAACAGTTCTGGAATCGTTAGGGTCGGAATATGCACATCACATCATTATGGGAGATTTTAATACCGATCTTCTAGCGATTAACTCTCCCCGTACCCGCAATCTCCATCCGCATCTCTCTCTCACATCATCCAATCCACCAGCTTCCACGTCCTCGTGCAATAGCCCATATCATTAACTTTTCACTCGACTCCGGCAATTTTCCCACAATCTGGCGTAAGGCTTTCATAATCCCTTTGCCAAAAAAAAATAACCCTTCTCTCCCTGAACACTATCGACCTATTTCCATACTCCCCTTTCTCTCAAAAGTGTGTACATAAGCAGCTATCGCAGTTTGTGTACCAGCAGAAGCTCCTTAGCCATTTACAATCTGGATTCAGACCTGGTCATAGCACAATTACCGCTCTCCTAAAAGTGACTGGCGATATTAGGCAGGGTATGGAGGACACCAAAGTCACAGTGCCCCCTTTGATTGATTTCTCGAATGCCTTTAATACCGTCAGTCACGATGTTCTGCTATCCATCCTTTCCTATCTTATGATCTCCTCGGAAGCCCTGGAATGGTTGTCCTCCTATCTTCAGGGACGACAACAGTGTGTTCGTATTGACGGCTTGTCATCGAGTTGGTGCTATCTTTTCACTGGCGTCCCTCAAGGCGGTATATTATCTCCGTTATTTTTTTCAATTTTTATTAATCTCGTAACCCAACACTTTCACTGTGCGTATCACCTGTATGCGGATGACTTGCAAATTTACGCCCAATCGAGACATATCACACGCCACTAATAAAGTCAACAAAGATTTGGACTTCATAAGGAGCTGGTCGATGAGGTTTGGTTTGTCGGTTAACCCAAGCAAATGTCAAGTGATCGTCATAGGTAGCAAACAGATGTTAAATAGGTTGGACATGACGTCATACCACCAGTTGTTTTTAACGACATAATCATACCTCTGAGCCCAGTGGTTAAGAACCTAGGGCTACATATTGATTCGACACTTGACTGGAGAGCACAAGTCACCCACGTCAGCCAGCAAGTCACTACATGTCTTCGCGCCTAATATCGTCCCAAGAATTTTCTGCCCACTAAAACCAAGGCTACGCTTATGCAGTCCCTTATTACTCCCTTAATCGATTATGGTGATGTGTGTTATCTTGACCTGAATGCAGACCTCCTCAATAAACTAGACCGACTTCTTAATAACTGCATTCGATTTGTTTTTAATCTTCCCAAGTATGACCATGTGTCTGCTTTACGTTCCCAACTGAAATGGCTCCCGATTCGTCAACGCCGCAGTCTGCGCGCACTAACATATCTTTTTTCTTTTCTTAATTCCCCATCGGTACCTGAGTACCTGGTTCCCCATCTCCGCCTCCTTTGCTCCAGTCACGACCGAAATCTTCGATCAACAAATAATTTGCTTCTTCTTTGCCCCCCTCACACTTCCAACTTCATCAATTCTTCCTTCTATGTACAGTCAGTTCTTCTCAGGAATGCGCTCCCAGTTGAAATTAGGATGTCCACTAACCGGTTTACGTTCAAGAAGAAAGTACAAGAACTTCTACAAAATAAGTTGGCAGAATGGTAACATCGCTAGTACCCGACTATGTCTTTTGATATTTATGTATTTATAAATGTGTATATTCATCTATTGTATGTGTATACTTGAGACCTCTATGTATATATGTAGTTATGAATATAGTATTTTATTTATAGTATTTATAGTAGTAGTGTATATATGTAAGTTAGATTTATCCTACATTAATAAGTTTAATATAAACAAGTAAAATTCTCTGTTTTCTCTTGCACCTACAGCTTAATTTTTCTACTCAACTGAAGGTCGACTGGCAGAGAATGCCTTGGGCATTAAGTCCGCCTTTGTACAACTAGTGCATTAAGTTAAATAAATAAATAAACAGTGTAAATTGTCGAATTTTAAATATTGTAGACGTAGACATAATACTCTTATACATGTAGACCAATCTGACTCAGCCAACTTTCAAGATCCTATGCCCAGTACTGCTTTGCCTAACTTAACTACTGGCGTTACTGGAAGTGCTCATTTTCAAAACAGCACGTCTGAAAGCGTCGCTTTGTCAGGTGATACTCCAGAAAACTCTTCCCGTTCTGTTTTGCTATCCACAGCTCTGGTGACAGTGGTCAACAACGATAAAAGACATATTTTAGAAGATAATTGTAAAACGTTACCGTTACGTTACGGGGACATTATAAAACTGTATTTTAGCCCATAACCGTTGAATTATTATTATTTTTTATTTTAATAAAACATTTAATTTCAGCTTAGTAATTAAGTATCTATGTAATAAAATAGTATTTCTGAGATGAAATAAACTTACATATATCAATTAAGATATCATTGTATTTATGTAGGTTTATACCTAGAAATAAAAAACAGATATAACTAATTTATTGTTTATTTATCTTATATATAATAAGGCGAACCAACAACATATTTACTTGGACTTAAATTACGAGTAAAGCTAACAGTTACATATTACAGTTCAGATTAAAATAAAACTTAAAAAAGAAATTTCTATTAGCATATAAGAGTTTAATAGGTATATCAAAACAATATCATCGTTGAACTAAACACCTTTCCTAAAACTTATAAATATGTTACTCTAACTTATTACAAATTTTTCTCACAAGAGCTTGAGTAGCATCCATCACTTCATCAAAAGGTTCGTACACAATCTATTGCACACTTGCATCATCACTGTCACTACAATCACGGCCACAGTCTGGGAGTTCATGGATGTTAATTTTAGTAACATATCGTCCTCTAGCACCACTTCTGTCTTGTCGAACATGTCGATGATGAAGATCTTAATGAACAATCCCTCTTTCTTTTCAACTTTTTCTTGGTTTGAGCTTGTTTATTTGATGATGTATTTAGTAACTTTTCATTTTTATCAACGTCATCAAATACATATCTGATAAGTTCTCCAATGTCGAGAATGCTGGGGCTATATGAAAATAAAGCTAAAGTAAGATATCTAATTTTTTCACATGAAAAATATTGTGATAACTCATAACATTAAAAACTAACCAATAAACTTGATTTCTATTTCTAGAAACAGGTCCTGTTTCGACTGACTATGACAGCATAATTAAATAAGAAATGCAATATGAAATCTGTCTGATATTCGATATCTAATGACATCAATTATTAAAAGTATAATATTGTAATACGAGAATACAAAATTCTTAACTTTCTAGACCTGTACTAACATGTTGAATGCTGTATTTCTGTTTTATATAAAATATGTACCTATTGTAGTGTTAAAAGTATAATTAACTATAAATATGTGTGTTAGACACCCATTACAGCAATTGTCAAAATGAAGTTGATCAAGCAACCCATTTCTCTGAAAGTTAACAATATAGATTTTAATGAATCTTCTCACCAAATCAGACATAGTCCTTTATTACCGAATACGATACGATGCGGAGGCCGATGATATGCGGCCCATCGAACTGTGGTAAAACAAACGTTATGATTAGTTTATTGTTACATGAAAATGGTCTAAAATTAAAAAATCTTTATCTCTATTCCAAAACTTCTTTCCAACCAAATTATCGTTTCCTGAGTGAAGTATTAAGAAGGGTATCACAGATTAACTTCTACGAATTTAACGATGATAAAGAGGTCATATCTCCGAGTGAAGCTTTAGGAAATTCTGTATTTATTTTCGATGATGTTGCATGCGAAAATCAAGTTAATATCCGCAATTATTTTTGTATGGGCAGACATAAACAAATCGATTGTTTTTATTTATCTCAAACCTATTCTAAAATTCCGAAACAATTGTTACGTGACAATGTTAATGTTCTTATAATTTTTAAACAAGATGATGTGAATTTAAAACACATTTATGAAGAACATGCTAGTTCTGATCTACAATGGAATCAGTTCAAAAATATTTGCAAGACTATTTGGAGTAGCCCTTATAATTTTCTACTTATTAACAAAGAATCAACATTACCTAAATAGTGGAAGGTACAGACAAAATTTTGATATCTTTTTTAAATTTTGAGTCAAAATGTACAAATATAAGTAATAACTATGCAAAAACAAATTTAGTATTATTGCTTCTTTAGCTGAATACAGTTGTTATAATTTAACATGCAGCAAAATATTAAAATAGAATTCATAAAGTCGGTTAACTCTATAAAGAATAAAATAAAACAAATGAAGCACCAGGAACACTCGATGAACTTGTCACTCGATAAAGTGCTAAAACCTGTAACAGATCCTCTTAAGACCTTAGTCGATTCGAATATAACTTGGGAAAAAATTAAAAATGTTGAAAATAAAACACTCGCTAATTCTGAAGACATCGAATCTGATGATATTAACACAAGCACATCTACAAATTTTGAAGATTCTTACAATCCAGATCTGAATTCTGCTCAATTCATTGACACTCCTAAAAAAAAGTTGACCGATGATTTAGAAATGTCTTTAAAGGGTGATGATATCTGCGGTATTTATGAAGAAATCAACATACCGTTCGGTATTAGAAGTAAAAAGAAGATTTTATTGATGGGTAATTCAGCGGTTTCATTTTCTAAAACTGATAGTTTAAATAACGACAATGTCATTTTAGTTAAAATCGGTAACAAAGCTTACAAGTTGACAGCAGGTTTAAAAGAACTTTTACTCAGGAGAAAACCTGATTTAAATTTGATATCGAACGAAGATAAGCTTGTCTATAAAGATATGTTGCATTACACAAATGCACATAAAAGAAATTTTAGTCCTAAGGTACAAATAAGAGGTGACAAAGGAATAAAATATCGTGAAATAATTAAACCATTATTTGCTGAAACATTAGACAGTAAAGTTGAAACTAAGCTTGGAGGAAACTTGCCAAAACAAAAAAAATATAAAAACAATACTGACTTAGTATACTGGGACGATCCCAATGAATTGGTTGAGAGATTAAAGTTGTTAGTGGCTTCAAGAGATGCTGGCAATACAAATCATGATAATGAAATATTGCCTATAATTGAAGAATTAAAAGAAGCTAGCATAATTAAGAAATAAATACTACCAACAATCGATATTTAATTCAGTATAACATATTTAACCATCGCGAACATTTACAAAATTAGTCACAAAAATCAGTTAGTAATTATACTTGAGCCAGAAATAGAAGTAATAAGTAATTTAAAAAAAAATCATGAGCAAAGCAGATGTGGTAAATGAGATTCATAAAAAAGCTAGGGTAAATTTTCCACGAAGAAATGTTATAATGAAAGATATAGATGATCTGTGGCAAGCAGACTTAATTGATATGCAATCTGTTTCCAAAGAAAATAAAAGCTTTAAGTCTCTGTCGCCGCTCTTGTAAACAGGGATAACCTCAGCAAGCTTAAGTTGTTGTGGAAAAACACCAGTAGTGAGCATAAGGTTAAATATATAAGTTAAGGGAGAAATTAGACTTGGGGATATCGCTTCAAGAAGGCACCGGAGATATTTTCACGTCCAACAGTCTTTAAATTTAGTATAAGATAATGCACCTCTACTTCATCAGTGGGAACCAAGGCAAAAGAAGACAGGCTTGAATTCATTTGTGGGGGTTGAGTTTGAGCTGTGGTATTTAGCATTTTTAAGGCAAGGTCTTGGCCGATAGATACAAAAAATTCATTTATATTGTTAGCAGAGGACAGTGGGTCACCTTTTGAAAGAAGCTCAGTGCGAGGCATGCCTTTTAAGTGTTGTCGTTTGAAGAAAAAAACACAACTAGAACCTTATAGTACTTTTTATTGTTTTTCAAAGTCTTCACCACGTAGCTTAATACACTTTTCCATTCGCTCAAACCAGTTATTATAACATTTATTCCACTCTAAAAACATATCATAAACTTTTCACTCGACTCTGCAACCTTTCCCTCACTCTGGCGTAAGGCCTTCAATATTCCTTTACCCAAAAAAACCAACCCCTCTCTCCCCGAACACTTTCGACCAATTTCTATCCTTCCCTTTCTTTCTAAAGTGCTAGAGGCCTGTGTAAATTAGCAGAATCTTCTTAGTCCTTTACAATCTGGGTTCAGACCTGGTCACAGCACCACTACCGCTCTCCTTAAAGTGACAAGCGATATTAGGGAAGGTATGGAGAAGACTAAAGTCACAGTGCCGGCTTTGATTGATTTCTTGAATGCCTTTAATACCGTTGGTCATGACGTTCTACTGGCTATCCTTTCCTATCTTATGATCTCCTCAGAAGCTCTGGAATGGTTCTCCTCCTATCTTCAGGGACGACAACAGAGTGTTCATATTGATGACATGTCGTCGAGTTGGTGTGATCTTCTCACTGGCGTCCCTCAAGTCGGTATATTATCTCCCTTATTATTCTCAATATTCATTAATCTCATAACCCAGCACCTTCAGTGTACGTATCACTTGTACGCTGATGACTTACAAGTGTACACACAGACAAGGGTTGAAGACATAACATACGCTATCGACAAAGTCAACAAGGACTTGGACTTTATAAAGAGCTGGTCAACGAGGTTTGGTTTGTCGGTAAATCCAACCAAATGTCAAGTGATCGTAGTGGGGAGCACACAAATGATAAGTAGATTGGATATGGCGGTCAGCCCACCAGTTGTCTACAACAATGTGACTATACCTTATAGTGCAGTGGTAAAGAACGTGGGGTTATATATCGACTCGACACTTGACTGGCGGGCACAGGTTACACACGTCGGCCAGAAAGTCACCACATGTCTCCGTGCTTTATATCGATTGAAGAACTTCCTTCCCGCTAAAACTAAGGCTACGCTTATGCAGTCCTTAATTATTCCCTTAATCGACTATGGTGATGTGTGTTATTTCGACCTGAATGCAGACCTTCTCAATAAACTAGATCGCTTCCTCAATAACTGCATTCGATTCGTTTTCAATCTTCGCAAGTATGACCACGCTTTACGTTCCCAGCTGCAACGGCTCCCAATTCGTCAGCGCCGCAATTTACGAGTGCTGACTTCTCTCTTTTCTTTACTCAACTCTCCATCGCTACCTGAATACCTCGTACCCCACTTCCGTTTCCTATGCTACAATCACGATCGAAATCTTCGATCAACTAACAATTTGCTTCTTCTATGCCCCCCTCACACCTCCAACTTCATCAACTCCTCCTTCTACGTCCAGTCAGTTCTCTGGAATGCCCTTCCTGCCGAAATCAGGATGTCAACATATCGCCTTGCATTCAAGAGAAAAGTGTGCGATCTTCTTCGGGGTGAATTGGTGGAACAGTTACAGCGCTAATACTCGACTGAGTATTTATATATTTTATTAAATTTATGTAGGTTTATGTATGCATGTGTGTTTTTATATTGTGTATGTTTCTAGACCCAAATTATTTTAAATTTCATATTTTATTTTGCACCTACCGCATCATACTCTACATCACCTGAAGGTTGACTAGGAGAGAATGCCTAATGGCATTAAGTCCGCCTTTGTGCAATATGTGCATTAAGTTTAAAATAAATAAATAAAGAAATCGTTAGGGCTTAGGTCAGGACTGTATGGTGGTGCACCCTAGAAACGCTGGCGATGGCACTGTTTTCTCCTTGTTCACTTGGAGGAGAGGATTATCGCCAGCGGCTAATATTCTAGCAGAAGAGGAAGCCGTTTATCGGCTCTCGGGCAAGGCCTGGTCCAGCAGGGTGGGCGTGTCTGCCGGTTGCCCTGCTGGCTCTTCGCTCTTCGGAGCATGGAGGAGGAAACCTCGGTAAAAAACCAGAAGGTGGGGCTCTGTAGGGGCCAGCTTCTCCGCTGATAGCGGTGGAGAAAGGAGGACGGGCTCGGCGTGTACTGACACTACCACCGAGCAGGCAGGGGGACGTAGTCTCCCTGTCACCGTCGGCATATCGTAATCCCTAGAAGAGCGCTGTGGTCAAGTCTCAAAATTCCCCGAATCCCGTGTTCTGGTGCGTGGCCAGGGGATGCATGGCTGATGGGTAGTTCAGTCGTAAGCGCACTCCCAGCCGGGGCACTTGCGGACCCCTCGATTGGGCATAAATTTACGCTTGCCCGGGTATTGGGGGATCTCTGCCCGGGTGGACCTTTAGTTCTCCCCCACTCGTGGGTTTAATTATGGCTAATGAAGAAAAAACTAATAAAGGATCGAAACCAAAAACAACAACGACAAAGGCGAGCAAAAGGAGTACGTCAAGAGTTAGTAGAGCAGGTGGATATCGCCTACTTCGACTTCAGGAAGGCGTTTGATATGGTTGATAATGACATTCTTTTGACCTAAATGGCAGCCGTAGGTTTTACACCACATGTGCTAGCGTTCTTCTCAAGCTACCTACGGGATAGACGTCGGTATGTTGACTGTTGGGGGTGTTTTTCTGAACCGTACTTTACGAGATCTGGTGTAAGTCAGGGTACCCTTAAGCCAGTACTTCCAGCCTGTAATATCCAACCATGCCCAAAACAAACAGTATGGGATACAAAAATGGATACCCTGGGTACACACCGAATACCTTCAAATATAAAAACCTAATAAATTTATTTTGTATGCGTTCCAACATTACTTTATATTTGATTTGATGGGGAGACCAGATAGAAGAATTACATTCCAGATGACTTTTAACTAATGCCTCGTACAAGGCTCTCAGTGCTGCGATGTTCGTAAATTTATTTGCGTTCCTTAGAAGAAACCCGAGATTACGATAAGCTTTTTTACAAACATCCTGAATGTGCTTACCAAAATTTAAATCTGGGCTGAAACGAACGCTCAAATCCCTGACCTCGTTAATCCGCTGGAGAGGCGATCCCTGCATGTGGTACTGGTAGTGTCCAGGGTTATGCGCTCGGCTGAACGACAACACGGAACACTTAGATACATTAAAATATAGTTTATTTTCTAAGCTCCACGCTACCACCCTATCTATATCTTGTTGCACCATGTCGTGATCCGCATTGTGCCTTATCACTCGAACCAACTTCAGGTCGTCCGCAAATAGCAATGGTATCGAGTTACCAACCACTTCCGGCAGGCTGTTAATCATTAAAATGAAGAGAAACGGACCCAGGGTACTGCCCTGACTTACACCAGATCTCGTAAAGTACGGTTCAGAAAAACACCCCCCACAGTCAACATACTGACGTCTATCCCGTAGGTAGCTTGAGAAGAACGCTAGCACATGTGGTGTAAAACCTACGGCTGCCATTTGGGTCAAAAGAATGTCATTATCAACCATATCAAACGCCTTCCTGAAGTCGAAGTAGGCGATATCCACCTGCTGGCCAGCGTCCACTGCAGACAACAGCAAGGGCGTCGCCAAGGGGGGCATAGAGGGGCAGCTGCCCCCCCCTAGAGATTCTAAAAAGTTGCCAAATATAATGCAACCAAAGTCCTAAGTCTTTGAGTTAATTTGCTTGAAGTTCAAGCCTTGAACAATTCCCGTACGTCGAAACTCGAATGAATTCACCAATTCCACTCCTAATATTCCGTACGCTCAACTACGCTCTGCTCTACTTGTTTTTAGAGAAATTCTTTTAGAGGCGTATTAGGGTCATTTATCATAAGGCCGTTTTGTAAGTTCAAAGATATTCACGAGCATTGCAAAAAGCACATGGAAACCCACTTCCATAAGATGGCACTGGAAGCCGCTAAATCATTTCTTGGAAGAGTGCCTGTAGATTTACAACTCAACAAATACTCCCAGGGCATTATTGAAGAAAACCGAAAAAATTTAACATCTATTATTTCCTGCATTACGTTTTGCGGGTCGCACGACTTAGCTCTGACAGGAAAACATTATGGCGAAGGTATTCTCGATGACTTATACAAGCTACGAATTGACGCGGGAGATTTAGTTTTGAAGAAACACATTGAGCATGGGAAAAAGAATGCAAGCTATCGATCGATTGATATTCAAAATGAAATTATCGCAATTTGTGGAGATGTTATTAAGGCAGACATTGTGAAAAAAGTAAAAGAAGCAGAAGCTTATAGTGTGTTAGCAGACGAAACAGCTGATATTTCCGGTACTGAACAATTATCGATTGGGCTGCGATATTTTGACGAGGAACCCAATGAGGTCCAAGAAATGTTCGTCGGATTTGTTGAGCTGAAAGGTCTGGATGCGAAATCTATTGTATATTGCATCGATGAGTTTCTGACAAAAGAAGACCTTAATCCTGCTGATAAATGCGTTGGTTTTGGATTTGACGGTTGTTCGACGATGTCCGGAAAAGACGGTGGAGTACAAGCGATCCTGCGCAAAAAATATACCAAAGCATTGTTCTTTCATTGCTCGTCCCATAAACTGAATCTGGTAATAAATGATCTCAATATTCTTCCTGAAATTCGAAGCATCATGGGAACCACTAAAGATATTATTAATTTTTTTCGGGAATCTGTTTTGAGAAGAAAATTGGTACCTAATATTACCAGGCTCTGCGAAACAAGATGTAGTGAGAAACATAAAACTATCAGAGTATTTAAGGAGAATTTTCCTGTTATATTAGAAGCCTTAGAAAACTTATCGCGTGAAGGAAACAGTGCGACTCGAAAAAACGCCTTTCAACTCCATGCGGCTGCTTTCAAAATTTCGTTTATACTTTGTATTACTTTGATAGCTAAATACTCTGCTTTGGCCTGGCTAAGAAGCACTATGAGTGAAAATCGCCTCAATGGTTTGGCCATGATGAGTGTGCACCGAAAACTTATACATGGAAACTTACAAGATTTTAATAATAAAGTGGTCGAGAAGTTTACAATGAATCCCCGAAAATTATGTTTTAATTAACCTAATATAAACAAACAACGACCACTATAATATTAAAATCTGGTAATTAAAAAAAAAATACGCTGTACGCTGTACACTTATTCAAATTCAAACTCCTTTTTATTCTATTTTTCTAATAAATGTTTTTATAACTTATTTACAAGTTTTTATTGCATAGTCAAGAGCTCGTGCTCGTGTAGCTTTACACATTGGACTCTGTACTGTCACAGAATATATATGTATATAGTACTAAGATTATTACAATCGCTGTAGATGTAAGGCTCGTAGTACAAGTGAAAAGCTTCATGTGCTGTCGACTTTACCTACAATTCATACCTACTTTTCTCATTCATAGAGAATGAGAAAAGTATGAATTGTAGTAGGTAAAGTCAACTTGCCCCCCCCTGCGTCATCGGCTGGCGACGCCCTTGGACAACAGACAACACGACATCAAGTGAAGCAAATTTCCTGCTGTCCCACGCCCAGCACGAAAGCCGTGCTGCGCGTCAGACAACTGGGAACCTACCTGTCTATAGAGACCTTCGTGAATGATGGATTCCAACACTTTAGCTGGAGTACTAAGAACAGCAACAGGTCTGTAATTACTGGGATCCGGGCCTCCACTACCTTTCTGAACAGGCACGACTCGTGTAAGTTTCCAGCACGCCGGAAATGTTGCGGTATCAATACATGCATTAAATAAATACAATAACGGTGCAGCTAATACCATGCGACAGTCCCTAAAAACGAAAGCTGGTATACCGTCGGGTCCCATGGAGCGCTTAGGCGGCAGACGGGCCAGCGCGGCCAGGACATCCCGTTCGCGTATGCGAGTAAGGGAAATACGCGCACCTGGAAGATAAGCCCCCGCCGCGCTCGCCGCCGCCGCGTTCAGCTTGGGAGGCTCATGGTTGTATACGGAATGGAAAAATCGTGCAAATTCATTTGCGCATTGGTCCTCAGATAACGTGCAACCACCCTTCATTAATCGGTGTTTACCAGCGTTGCTCTTTTTAGACCGCATGTAGTCCCAAAACGCTCGTGGATCGGTAGCTAAATGACTTTGTACACGTTCACAATATCGATCATGCACTCGTACAATATCCGCCTTTACTTTTGCCCTAGACCTACTGAAAACGGCATAGTCACTACGCAATTTACTCGCTTTGTATTTTATATGTAATTTGTGTTTACATTTTATTTCCCTAGTGAGGTTGGCACTACTGAAAAAGATTCTGCATTTTGGTCAAAACAACAGCGGTGTAAAAGTGGCAACACTAACCGCGGTGTCAAATCGCAAACGTAAAAGTCAAATAGTGACCGTGCAAATGCAAATAAGAACTGCAGTGAAGAAATAAAATACTATTATTGCAAGAAAATAGGCCATTTTAAGAATAAATGTCCCGAACTAAAAACAAAGAGGACTTTAAATGCTTTTAGTGCTGCATTCTTCAACGGAAATTTTAGTACAGAAGACTGGTACATCGATTCGGATGCTAGCGCACACATGACGGCAAATCGAGATTGTTTACTGCTAAATAGACCCGTGCATGTAAACAAAGAAATAGTAGTCGCAAATCAAATGACTGTGCCTGTTGTAAGTGTTGGTGAAACACAGATAACGACGAATGTAAATGGATCTCAGCATGATGTCATTGTGAAGAATGTTTTGTACATACCGAAGCTCACAACAAACTTATTATCAGTAAGCAAATTAATAGCAAAGGGTAACAAAGTATCGTTTAAAAAGGATGTCTGTTTGATATATAACCAAGTAAATGAACTTATAGGAGTTGCAAACTTAACAAACTGTGTGTACAAGCTACAAACACAAAGATCAGAGAGCGCATTAACGGCCATGACAATGTAGCATAGAAGGCTAGGACATGTAAACAGCAAGTCTTTAAAAAAGATGAAAGAAGGTGCCGTGGAAGGGGTTACTTTTGACAAGAAAGCTGATATTCGGATCCAGAACTGTGAAGTGTGCTGTGAGGGGAAACAGGCTCGTTTTCCTTTCCCATCTGCTAATCATAGGAGTGATATACTGCTAGGAGTAATACACTCAGATTTATGCGGGCCGATTGAGACCAAATCAATTGGTCAAGCTAAGTACTTTCTTCTGTTCGTAGATGACGATAGCAGAATGACTTATGTCTATTTCTTAAAGGAGAAGAACCAGGTACTTCAGCATTTCAAAGACTTTTCAAAGAATCAAACGGGAAACAAGATTAAAGTATTGAGAACTGACAATGGAGGTGAGTTTTGTTCACAAGAGATGGAACATTTCTTAAAACAAACAGGAATCATCCATCAGAAGACTAATCCTCACACTCCACATCAGAATGGACTGTCAGAAAGGTTCAGAAAGGTTCAACAGAACTTGTACGGTTACGGTACGGTACTAGTTGAACGGGCTAGATGTTTATTGTTTGAATCAGATCTAGAAAATAGTTTTTGGGGTGAAGCGGTAAATACTGCAGTGTACCTAATGAATAGAACGCCAGCTGCCAGTTTAGGCATGATGACACCTTTTGAAAAGTGGACGGGCAGGAAGCCAGATTTAAGCCATGTCAGAATATTTGGAAGTCAAATAATGGTGCATGTTCCCAAAGTGAAAAGACAAAAATGGGATAAGAAGGCTGACAAATTAATTCTAGTTGGGTATTCCGATAACGTTTAACCCTAAAACTAGGAAGATTACTACGAGCAGGAATGTCATTATAATAGAGAAAGAATACTCTGACACAGCTCAGGTAGTAGCAAAAAAATGAAGAAAAAACATCAGAAAAGAAAGAAGAAATGTTAAAGGAAGTTGAAAACTCAGAGAAAGGTGTATGAAAGTGATAATGAGTCAACCTTAGAATCTATTTTAGAAGAAAATGCTCAAAATTCAGAGGTGCTTGGTAAGCGCCAGAGAAAGCCGGTAGAAAGATTCGGCTATTCCAATCTCTGCATTGTAGATGAGCTGGAATCATGTGGTGAAGAACTGAGCTATGGAACAGCAATGAATGGACAGGAGAAGGAACTGTGGGAACAGGCGATGACAGAAGATAATCAACCATGGGAATTCGTCGACAGAAAAGAAGCTGATAGAGTAGTGCAGTGTAAGTGGGCTTTTAAGAAAAAGTTCGAAAGAGATAATAAGGTGCGTTATAGGGCTAGACTGGTAGCAAAAGGTTTTACCCAAAAAGAAGGTTTGGACTATACCGAGACATTCTCACCAGTGTTACGTTACTCTATATTGAGACTTTTATTCGCATTAAGCGTGAAACTTAACTTTAAAATTACTCATTTGGATGTCACTACAGCCTTCTTAAATGGTAATCTCAATGAAAATTTAAACATGCATCCTCCTCCTAATTTACATTGTAATAAAAATTGTTTACTTAAATAAAAACGTGCAATTTATGGTTTGAAACAATCAGCCAGAGCTTGGAATGTAAGAATAAATGATTGTTTATTAAAGTCCAACTTTGTTAGGTCAAAATTAGAACCATGTTTATACATAAAAAGGTGTGAACAGGAGCTGATTATAATAGTAATTTTTGTAGATGATTTTTTCATATTTTCTAATTGTCAAGATATGGTTAAAAATGAACTAATGCTAAAATTTAAGATAAAAGACTTGGGGCTGTAGGAGGTATACACAAATACATACATACACGTCTATACTATATAATATTCTAATACTATCTTCCTTCTATCTAAACACTTCTATAACTAATATAATTACATATATCTTATTATTATACACTATATATCATTACAATATAATATGTAGTATTTATTTACATATTCTATACTACCAGATACACTTTCACTTTATATAAATAATTTAAGTAAATCGAATAATATTTATTTATATTTCATTCGGTGTAGTGGGACCACACTCAAATCTTCGAGTCCTATTGTTTCCGCCGTCGGTCGGTGCAAGCGCATCGACCACTGCATGGAATTAGTTATCGTACTGCCCTCGGTCGCGAAACCTATTTTGTTGCCTATGAAACATATAAAATTCTATGTATAAATATAACGTGTAAATCTGTGACATTATATATAAAATTTTCTCTTGACTTTTTCTTGTGCTGTGTTAATTTTTGTGAGTCTTGTTTCTCCTTCTGTGCGTGTAAATAAACTTGTGCTACTACCTTCCAATACAACTTTTATTTTTCTCAAACTTTCTGTAAGTAATTTTTATCTATACTACAGGGCAATTAAAACAATGTTTAGGCATTAGAATTCAAATGTATAAAAATGGTTGCATTTCACTAGATCAAAAACATTCTATGGATTATACAGGGTCTACCCATAGGGATGACCTGGTTTTGACAGCTCATAGCGGCCATGTTTGATGATGGAACTTTAACGTCTCTTGACGTTTGTGTTCAGTAAGGTTTGCCATTTTATCATGTCACGTTTCATTTTAAACCATTGCTTGGAAATTGTCCAAAATTATTACGCAAATTCGCGTTCTCCTACCGCTACAGCAAGAGCGTCGTCATAGTGCTCCTTCTGTGCGCGCTATAAATCGCATAATAACAAAATTTTAAAGTAATTTAACTCTCCACAATTCTGCTGTGCCTGTGAGACATAGAAATGCCCGTAGTGAAGAGAATATCGCAGCCGTTAAGGCCAGTGTTGATGCGAATTTAAATCGATCAGTTCAACGCCGTTCACAAGAGTTGGGGCTCTCTCCAATGACCACCTGGCGTATTTTGCGGTTGGATTTGGGCCTACACCCATACAAAATTGTTTTGGCACAAGAATTGAAGCCATCCGACCATTGTATCCGTCGTGAATTTGCCGATTATGCACTGGAAATGATGGAAGCCGATGACGATTTTCATCGTAAAATCATCTTCTCAGATGAGGCCCATTTCTGGCTCAATGGATTTGTTAATAAACAAAATTGTCGCTATTGGAGTGGGTCAAATCCACGTGTAGTTCATGAATCACCATTGCATCCGCAAAAAATAACAGTTTGGTGCGGTTTATGGTACGGTGGAATCATTGGTCCGTACTTCTTTAAAAGTGACGAAGGAAACCCTGTTACTGTGAATGGCGAGCGCTATAACTCGATGTTAACCGAATATTTCTTTCTGGAATTTAATGATATTGATGCAAACGACCTTTATTTTCAACAAGACGGTGCACCACCTCACATTACTCGAGTGAACATGGAATTATTGCGTGGAAAGTTTGGTGAGTCGTTAATTTCGAGAAATGGACCGATCAGTTGGCCACCAAGATCATGTGATTTAACACCTTCAGACTATTTTCTTTGGGGTTACGTTAAATCTTAAGTGTACAGCAATAATCCAGCTACAATTCGTGACCTAAAAACCAACATTCGACGAGCCATAGCCGACATACCGGCCGAAATGGTGCACCACGTCATCAAAAATTGGCGTGACCGTCAGCAAAAAGTCATTGGCCGATATATTATTTAAAACATAAATTTCATAAAATTATCTATCAAATAAAACAATCGGATGCATTTTTCATAAAAAATTGTGTGTTTTATTTAATTTTTAAACCAGGACGTTCTTATTGGTAGACCCCATATATTAAATAAATTTAATATGACAAAATGTAATGGTGTCGATACTCCCATTGAGAATAATTTAAAGCTAGTGTAGTAATGTGGAGCAGTATGTGTACTTACGGGTGAATATAAATAAAAGTCAATATCCACTTACTGTTGTTGTGTGTATAATTTATACACCCAACAACACGATATACTATTTAAAAGACAGAAGGAGTACATGCAAGAGACACACAATATACACAACGCGACACAGAATATACTGTCCATTCACAACACTTTAAACTATTTAAAAAATACTGTTTGAATTTACTTAATTAAATAAAGATGAAGAATGTCAACAATAACAAGAGAACGCGCAAGCTGTAAGGGGGCCATGGACCAACTAACTTAACGTACTTACTATACGATCGTTCTGGAGCGACCCACGTCACTCAACACTATAATGTCATCACATCACATCAACAGCCTATAATAGTCCACTGCTGGACATAAGCCTCTCCTTAGAAAGGAGGTTCTGGCCTACTATACCACGCCTGCCAGACGGGTTGTTATAGGGTTTGTGTCAAGTTTTCCTTCTCTCTGCAGTGCTGTTGTCCTGCGCAGTTTGCTCCCTTAGTCGGCTCTTACGACACCCACGGGATGAATAGGGGTGGTGACAGTCTGTATTCTTAATCCGTCACCACACGTAAACCACCAACACCACCAACACCAATGTAAAAAATCATAAGTGTAGTAGTTAGAAGTAGTAAGTAGAGTAGTGTTAAGAAGTAATAAATAACTATTTCCAAACCTTAAGTGTTCAGATAACTGTGATAAATGACTGTGAAGCTCGTCGTGGGTTCGATAACCACTTAGGACGAATACGAGTGTTGTGTGAAATTATTTTTATGATAGTGTAATTGCGTTTATGCTTATGTTGTTTTGTGTGTCTATGAAAATGTTACGTGGTAGGTATGAGCTCTACATCACCCCCCTCCAGAGACCGTCAAGGGCGATAAAAACCAGGAAACCTGACACGACGACCACAGCGAGTGGTATACTCTTGGCTATTGCTAGGTAGAGTGGCTTCTGTTAGGTCAGGCTTGTCTGTCAAAATATAAGCTTGCTTAAGGCGGTCGATTGAGACCGTAACCTCTCTGCCCTTGCTTAATATTTTGAAGACTTTGTTTCCCCTTTGCAGAACTTTATAAGGACCTCTGTACGCCGGTTGTAGCGGGCTACGTGATGCGTCTTCGCGAAGGAACACGTGATCGGCGGTCTGCAGATCCTTAAATATGAAAATGCTGGTCTTGCTGTGACAGGATGCTGGGGTTGGTTGCAGGTTTTGAGCAAATTTGCGAATGCGCGCATTGAAATCTGTGACGTCGGTCGTTCGTCGTCGGAAGTTTGCGATTCCGCGAGAATGTCGAAGCTGACCGGTAATTGCAGCGCTTCCACGCAGATAAGGGATCGGCTACGACGTTGTCCTTGCCGGAAATGTGCCTTAAGTCGGTGGTGAATTGGGCAATGAAGTCGAGATATCGGAATTGTCTGGGCGAGCAGTTTTTCGTCCTCTCATGGAATGCAAAACTGATCGGCTTGTGATCCGTGTAAACCACGAAGTGTCTGGCCTCGAGCATGTGGCGGAAGTATTTGATAGCCTCGTAAATGGCTAGCAGCTCGTCGTAGGAAGAATACTGCGTTTGCGAAGGGCTGAGCTTCTTTGAAAAAGAAGGCTAATGGATGCCAGCCATCATCGCTAAACTGCTGTAGCACGGCGCCGATTGCAGTATCTGACGCGTCAGTAACCAAAGCAACTTTGGCATTGCAATCGGGATGAGCCAATAGCGCAGCATTAGCCAAACTGGTCTTGCAGTCCTCAAATGCTTGCAAGGTATTCGCCGCAAGACATATAGGCTGCGAGCCCTTTACGTTGCCAATCAAAAGGTGGTGAAGTGGCGCCTGAATCTGAGCGGCGTGGGGCATAAAGCGTCTATAAAAATTGATCGTACCCAGAAAACGGCGCAACTGTCGGACATCTTTTAGAGGCGGAAAGTTCATGATGGCATCAACCTTGGAGTCAAGTGGTTTGGTGCCCTTCTCGGAGATGTGGTACCCTAAGAAGGTTACCTCCGGAACACAGAGAACACACTTAGACGTGTTGACCAACATGCCAAAGTCCTTCATCCTGCCGAAGATAATGCGGAGGTGCTCCTCATGGTCAGCCTGCGACCTTGAGAAGATCAAATGGTCATCTAAATAACTGTAACATAAATCCAAGCCTCTGGTCATCTCGTCCACAAAACGTTGGAACGTTTGGCCTGCGTTGCGCGTTGAACGGTGTGGTGATTGCCGTCTTCGGAATGTCGTTCGGATTAATTAGCGCAGGCTATTTCTGAAATAAAAATGCGGTGTGGGTTAGTGTTTTTTTTTTTTCTATTTTTCATGTTTCACTTCATTTTCTCTTTCATTCGTTTTTTTTTTAATCTTGTTCTCTTTTCGTTGTCTTTTTACCTTTTAGTCCTTAATAACGGACAGACTGGCACAAATCAAAATAATGTTGTGGTATATTTAATA